TGATGGTTTGAGCGTCAGCCTGCGGACTGAAGGGTTGCAGGTTCCATTGCTGGTCAAGAGCATGTACCTCCGTTGCAGGTTTAATCCCTGGCCCCTGTTGGGGGTGCTTACTGTGGGAGGCAATCAATAGTTGTGTCTCTCTCACATCCATGTTAATCTCTCTCTCTCTCTCTCCCTCTGTTCTCTCTCTCTCTCTCTCTCTCTCTCTCTCTCTCTCTCTCCCTCTGTTCTCCCCCCCCCTCTGTCCTCCCTTTCACACCACACTTTCTAAAAAAGAAAAAAGGAACAAATATCCTCAGGTGAGAATTAAAAAAAAAAAAAAGACAGCAGAGCTACACTTGAAATACATCCTAGATTCTATTAGTTTTATTTGCTAATATTTTATTTAGAATAATTGTAACTGAATTCCTACATGATCTTTTCTTTTTTTTAAATATATTTTATTGATTTTTTACAGAGAGAAAGGGAGAAGGATAGAGAGTTAGAAACATCGATGAGAGAGGAACATCAATCAGCTGCCTCCTGCACACCCCGCACTGGGTATGTGCCCGCAGCCAAGGTACATGCCCTTGACCGGAATCGAACCCGGGACCCTTCAGTCCGCAGGCAGACGCTCTATCCACTGCGCCAAACAGGTCAGGGCCATGATCTTTTTTATATATTTTTTTATTGATTTCAGAGAGGAAGGGAAAGGAAGAGATAGAAACATCAATGATAAGAGAGAATCATTGATTGGCTACCTCCTGCAGCCCCACACTGGGTTTTGAGCCTGGGCATGTGCCTTGACTGGAAATCGAACCATGACCTCCTGGTTCATAGGAGGTCACGCTGGCCGGGCCCTATGTGATCTTTAATTCATTTGTTTTTGTTTTATTATTTGAGGTTCATAAATAATCTACTTCAATTTAATAGGTCTGTTCTAAAAGCTATTCTTTGAATTAATAAGGATTCATTTATTCTTGCTAAGATATATATATATATATTCCTATTTCCTTAATTTAAGTTCTCATGTAAAAATCTTTTGAGAAGAGTATGCATGATTTGACTATGTTTGCATTTGTGTGGAACTGGTTATCTGCATATATAATACACATCAATTGAAGCTATATTGAAATGCATTGTGGGCATACTTTCCTGCTACTTTTTTTTTTTTAACTCTTCTACAAAAGTTCAAACTTAGATGAGTGCTTCTATTTTATATAAAGATTTTAATGTTGAAGAAGTAACAATGTTGGTAAAAATATCAGTTTTAATTCTACTCTATTTTGAGACAATTATTTTCTAGTTCAAGGAAGTTATATATATGGGACACAATATGCAATATTAGTAAAGAGTGAGCAATTTTTAAGATATATGAGTCATTAAAACAAAAACGTAGTTTCAAATTTTCCTAATTGATTTAACTCAGACAGACCATCTGGTTTAAATAAATAATTACTCCTGGACTTATATTTGTGAACTTAATGCTCTTTTATGTATTTGCCAATTTCCACACATTGTCATTTCTATCATTAGCTGGTTTGGGTTTTTTTAAAAATATATTTTATTGATTTTTTGCAGAGAGGAAGGGAGAGGGATAGAGAGTTAGAAATATCGATGAGAGAGAAACATCAATCAGCTGCCTTCTGCACACCCACTACTGGGGATGTGCCTGCAACCAAGGTACATGCCCTTGACCAAAATCAAACCCGGGACCCTTGAGTCCACAGGCCGACGCTCTATCCACTGAGCCAAACTGGTTAGGGCTGGTTTGGGTTTTAGAAAACAATTCAGAATTAGTGGTGTACCTCGGCCTGGCCTGTGCCCTCTCACAATCCAGGACCCCACAGGGGATGTCAGAGAGCTGGGTTAGGTCAGATCCCACAGGCCGGGCTGAGGGACCCCACTCAGCCAGGGTGTACAAATCCATGCACTGGGCCTCTAGGTGTGAATAAAGCTACTATGCATATAGGTGTGTAAATATCTCTTTGAGGTACCATTTTCAATTTTTTTGGATATATAATAAGAAATGGGATTGGTGGATGATATGGTAGTTCTATTTTAAAATTTTGAGGAACCACCATACCATTTTCCATAGCAGTTGCGCTATTTAGCAATTTCAACAAAACTGCACAGGTGTGTAAATTTCTGCACATCTTCACCAAAATTTACTATTTTCCTAGTATTTTGATAGTAGTCATTCTAATAGGTGTGAAGTAATATTTCATGGTGTTTATTTGCATTTCTCTAATAACTAGTGATGTGACTATCTTTTTGTATGCTTATTGTTATTTGTATATCATCTTTGGAGAAATGTCTATTGAGATTTTTTGCCAGTTCTTGCATCAGGTTGTTTATTTTTTTGTTATTGTTGAGTTGTAGGATATTAACTCCTTATCAGATACATGATTTATAAATTTCTCCTCCCATTCTTTAAGTTGTATTTTTACTCTTTGATTGTATCCCTTGATGAACATAGTTTTAAGTTGGATGTAGACCTAATTTTCTATTTTTGCTTTTGTTGACTAGGCTTTAATGTCATCTTCAATAATCATTGGCAAATCCAATGTCATGAGCTTTTCCTTCATGTTTTCTTCTAGAAGTCTTATAGTTTGGGGTCTCATATTTAGGTCTTTAATCAATTTTGAATTATCTTTATATATAATGTAAGATAAAAGTCTAACATTAAACTTGTGGCTATCTAGTTTTCTCAACACTATTTATTAAAGAAACTGTCCTTTAAAAATAGTACTTATGCCTATCACTGCTTCAAAACTCCACTACATATTAATTATACTATTAGAATTTTTTATTTAATGTACAACTGAATAAGCACTTACTATATCATATATTTACTTTATAAATATTATGATACATGTATTTAACATAATTTTATTGCAATCCTTTGTAATATATTTCATAAATGTATTAATTTTTATGAATTTAAAATATAACAACTTTATTTTTGTGTTTTTTTATTTATTTAAAATATTATGACAAGGGGACTATGGGTTTCACTAGACTGCCACAGGGTGCATGGTCTCAAAAAATATTAAGAATTCAGAGAACTCTTTTTTCAGTAACTCTGGCAACAGATGAAGACTTGAGCTAGAGTAATGGAAATAAGAACTATGCAAAATAAATAAAAAAGCAAATTTACCATGATTTAATGATTAAATAAATGCCAAGACCAAAGAAAAAGTGAAATCAAAGATGACTATCCTGTTTTAAACTTAGGTGACTGGTTGGTGGTGTGTGGCTCTCTGAGTCAGCAGGGTAGAAGTTGCATTTAAAACCACTAGAGTATCTGTGATCGCCCATGGGAAGAACGTCAAGGAAGAAACTGAGGATAAGAACATAGGTGATCAATATTCAAAGACCAACCAATTTATTATCATCAATTAGTTGATATGCATTATATATGATATGCACTATATATATAATGAGTCAGCAAATAGAACTAGAATATAAAGAATAACACTTTGATAAACAATTGGTGGTTAATTTGCAAAGTACCATTCATTATGACTCTATTTTGTATTTATAATTTTTGTGCTTGCAATTACTTGCAGGCAAAAAGAAATGCAGCTCTAGCTGCCTAATTATAGGCACAACCATCCAAATTCACTCTGAAAAGAACAGCACAAAGAGATACCATCTGTGAAAGTGCAGTAAACCCCTCAGACCTTTTTTCTTCCACATTCTGTATGGCTGGTGGGCACCTTCCTTTTGCCTTCTGTCTTGGGCTTTATTCCTGTCTGATCTTGTTCATGCATTACAGGCTAGTCCCTCTAACAAGCAGACAGTCAGTGGGCCATTCCTCTTATCAAACCATTATGCATTTTCTATACATAATGTACCATAGTCTGAGCAGACTGAACATGGAAGCCATTTCTGAAACACATCATTTGCCTTGTTAGTGTGAACAGATTCAATCTTTTATTCTCATATAATTTTATGAGGTAGGCAACTTGAACACTGTAAAGATGAAATCACATACAAATTTCTGCTCAAAAGCAGAAGAAAATTATGTTACTCTGCTTAAAACACGTTTCAGCCATTTATTGAAACACAGCTGTCAGTTTGAATCAAATGTATTCATATTTCCCCATTAAATTGTTAGGACTGTAATGAAACTTGGAGTTTGATTTCCTATAAAGCATCATAACACAATCAGTACAATTTCAAATAATTGTTGAACTGTGTGACGATAGTTATGATTTCAGGTGGGAAATATATAATAATAGATGAGAAATATAAAACCCAGGTTAACACGTAATGAAAATTATATTTTCATACAAACATCAGTAATAGTAAATATGGGGACAACATAGCCTCCTTTTATGAAAATGACACCGATTCTTGACAGAAAATTTTTCAAAGGTTTTAATGATTGAATATTATTTGCTTATAATTTAATTATATGGAACACTTTTAATCTGATAAATTTTCTATGGTAGAAATAATACATTTTAAGATTGGTAAATTGGGCTGTTTATTTGCAGACTAAAACCAGAATATAACATATATTTCTCCTATATAAAGTATATATTTTTATACTCTACTTATTGTGTTTGGGATTGTCATGAGGATTTTAGGGGAAAATGACGGCTTAGGAATCTTAAAATGTTCAATTGATTTTAATTTTTTAAATTTATAATAAATAGGAAAGCACATTGTTGTTCTACTACCTTAATCTCAGTGGTGAAGCAGTAGTTAGACATCAGCCTTAAGTTTATGGACAATGGGGCACATATTTATAAGTTGAAAATATGGTAACATAATTTTGATTTATTGAAAAACGTCATGTTAAGAAAATAGTAATTTGTAAAGGGGAAGTATCATTCCAAAAAAAGAGAGTAAATTTCAAGTAGAAGATTGTTCTTTTGTATAAAACAGCACAGTTCAATGGATGTAATCAAAATTCAAAATATTATCAATGGCATGATAAACAAAAGTTGTTCATTTTCACAAGAAGTAGAAGAACATTTTCAGACATTAAAAAGGGTAATGCTACTCACATCCTGAGCTACCATTTGTTGACACCAGAGTCAAGTTGGAAGGCCATGGATTCCGAACAATATCTTGCCAATGAATTGTGTTTGCATAACAAAGAAATTTGTTCTGGTCTACATAGACTCCACCATTTAGGATTTCTGTATTAAAACAAACAAACAGATTTGTTGTCAAGCCTTTTGTTGATGAAAAGGTAGTCAATAAAAATGAGTTACCCTTAAAATATTTTCAATGTTAGAGTTACTTCGTTAATAGCCAGTATATCTTTAAACATATTTTTTGTCATATAAATTAAATGGAAAAATTGAAAAGATAAAAAATACAAACAAACAAACAAACAAACACCCATAACCCAAATGTTCAGAGAGAAAACATTCTTAACATTTTGGCATAGACACTACTAATCTCTTTTCCTGAAATTGGGGTAATATTACATATAATATTGCCTGGCCTGCTAATTATAATAGTGATTGGTGAGTAATTAGTGATAATCAAATAACATTCTACATTATTTCTAGTGAGAATACAATATGCCAAAGAATAAATTAAATAGTACTTATTCAATGAATCCCCTCTTTTTGGTCATTTAACTTGTTTATATCCGATTAGTTTTTTAAAATAAATTTCCACAAATGACATTATAAAATCATAAATTTTAAAAATATTTTTAAGACTTTTGGTACAAGTTATCAAATTTCCCTTACAAAAAATTGTTTCAGGCAATGTGACATTGACTAGAGTCAATGGGTAAATAATTAGTCCCAAATGGAAGCTAAAACTAATGAAGGCTCCAATCATAAAAAAAAACCCACAAAAAACAAACAAAAAAAAACATTCTTTGTCTTGTATGGAATCAATAGAACTGCCAATCATTCCTTGAGAACAACACAATGCAAGATAGAATAAAAACACTATGGTTTGACCATGGGAACAATGGTATGACCATGGGATAAAATACACTAATGCCAATTTTTACTTGTTTCTCTATTTCATAACACTTTACTTGATCAGGTAACTTGTCTCCCTGAACAATGGTTGTTCATATACATTGATTCTCTTTAAGTTATTCAGAAATAAAGTTAACATTCTTCTGCAAATACTATTGTTATTTTTTTGAAGAAATTGGTTAGAAATATACATAGCATCTTCTGCTCAATATCTACCACATTTCCTCCTCTTGTTTAATAAAAATAACAACTTAAGATAAAGTCATATGTCAGTCTATAAAGCATTCAGTTACAAGTACAAAAACTGAACTAATAGTAGCTAAGGGATGGTTTTTCTCACATAATAATAAGAAACCTGCAGAAGGCAGTTGCAGATATTAGTTTGTCTGCTCCACAGTACACACAACCTGTTCTGTGTGTTGGCTTTATTCTCTCCAGGCACAAGAGGGCTGCTGCATCAAAAGGTGTTAGTCTGCAGTCAAGGCATGTGAGGAAAGGAGAACAAGCAAGATACTTCCTCCTAGTAAGGCACCAACTATCTCTTTGGGAAGAGATGCTCTCCTCAGGGATTAAATATGTATTCATTGGCCAGCACGATCTCTCATGGCCATTGTTCTGCAAGAGAGGCTGAGGAAGCAAGTATTTAGGTGGACATATTGCTTCTTGAACAGAATCTAAACAAGCACTCGTGTTAGTGAGGAAGGAGAGGATATTGGGAAGGCAAGTGACTCTCTCTCCCTTCGTGGCCTTGAGAGAATCATCTCTCCTGTTCAGTATCCCATGCTACATTTTTATGAGTTAGCTAAAAACAATGAGGGTGATAAAATATGAAAGGAATAGGTGACACCAGAAAAGGGGCATTTGTGAAAGTGAGACTGCTAGGCACATCTAAATGGCCATACTGTGTTGCATGTATAAAATCCTCCAGATTTATTTTGTTACTGCATGGCTTTCCACATTTAAAATCACTTGGATTTCCATCATCAATCCTTTCACTGACTATGGCTCCATTTTTTCAAGTGAGAAAAAAATAAACAATAAGGAATTAGATAATCTTTCTACTTCTAAAACTCAGCTCATTATTTTTCACAACCTACCCATATAACCTTCATCAAAGCAGAAGGGAGATGTAAGATGCAAGAACGATTGTGAAAATGAATGTCTACATTAATGTTTGGCATTAAGTTCCTATCTAAGAAATGTGACGATCTCATACTAATAGCTTTCTCATGAGACATTAGGGAATGCTCTTCTTCTACAGGAATAATTCTTCATTAGGTGACAAAAAAAGGAGATTTTGATTTCTATCCAAGAAATAAAGGTTATTCTTCAGTCTACATTTGGAAAGTTCTACCTTAAAAAAGTGAAAAGTAATAGCTCACACATTGTAAAAAGAGCCTGCATTTTTCAGGAGTCACATTTTAATTCAAATAGTTTATACTGAAGGAACACAGTATCCATCTCTAACTTCCTATCTAGAAATATTCTAATAGAATCAGATATTATATTGACTAATAATCTCATCAAATCCCTTTCTTCAACAATATTAATCTTCTACCAATGTTTACATTTATTTCTTAGAAATATTCTGTTCAAAAGCTTGGTTTATACTTTGAAAAGGATTTAGAAAGGAGGCATTAATAATGCCAGTATAATCTTACATGTTAAAATTTCAAATTGAGACTACAATCATAAGTCTGGATACTTTTGTCATCCTAAATTCAAAACCCAGCATCTCCTAGCAGTTTTAATCAGGAGGATTTATAATTTTTTGTATTTAATTATGGATAGTTTATGCATGTATGTGTTTATTTTCTCTGAAAATAATTTTTTTCCTATATGTTTGGCTTAGAACTATTATTTATTGAATGTCAAACCCCACGATCAGAAAATGTGTATTTTATTGACAATTACAGGATAATTTTAATGTATACTATACCTTACATTTTCTTTTTATCAACTTGATTACCTAGTTATATCAGGATATAATTTAAAAAATAAATTTATTTGTATAGTTTACAATGATTTTATAATGTTACATGATTTTTAAATATTAATTTAATGTTTTATGGGGAAATATTTAGTTAGATTTATTTCTGGAATAAGAAAATTCTAGGAAAGGTATTGACCTATAAGAAAGTTGTTAAAGTACTGATTATTTACTGGACAAAAGGGATAACTGATGTTTCTCTCTTGGTTAACCATAGAGACAAGATTACATTTTTTATTAGAAAGAGGGATAAGAACTAGAAAAAGAGAACAGCTTGATAAGATATTTGCCTAAGAAGATACAAAAAAACAACAACAACAACGTCTGGCTATACTTTGAATCTATCTTTGCTAACACAAGAACAGCAGAACTTTCCATCAGTATTATTAAAGATTTATTGGAAGGTACCATCTCTGTTACATCAAGAGTTTCCTTCCTGCTATCATGAAATAAAATGATAATTAAATTTTAAAACTATGACAAAAAAAGACAAATTCTAATTCTAAGCATGATAAGCAAATGAGGTATAAATTTAATTGATATTCAAAGATATATGCAATCTAGAAGATTTAAAAGTCTCAAAAAATGTTGAATAAGTAAATAAGCTCAATGCCATCTCATTCCATTGCAATTCACTTCCATTGTAGCTAATATATTGGAGTAAATTGAGAGGGACACAATTAGATTCCTGGCCATTGGAATAATTGTTAGAAAAAGCTACGATGAATTTTCTTTTATTACATAAAAATATTTCCAGCAAGTTCAGAAAACAATACTGTGTCTTCTTAATAAATGTCATGGTTAAATATAGTAAGATATATTAAATATGACATTCTATGAAAAAAGCATTTCATTACTGAAAAATTCCAGTAAACACTTAAATATGTTTTGTCTCAAACATTTTCTACTAGATTAATACAAGTCAAGTGAAAATATTATGAATCATTTTGTATTTTAAGTAAATTGTAAACCACACTATTTTTAATATGTTGAATATATATATATATCACAATATTAACTGAAATATTATATTAAACTCCATGAAGGTAGGGGATATTTTTCAGTGCTACATCTACAGCATCAACCCTAGAAAAATGAATATTTTTAAAATTGATCTGAAAAATAAAAGTACCATGAAATTGCCAAGAACATTGATCAGTTAACTTCCATTATTTTTCCTAATTTTAATTTATATTCTGGTGAAAATAGATTAAGATTAAAAGTTGTCTTTTTTCAAAAACAATGGCTCATCTCATCTGGTTCTACATTTCATTAAGTCTGTTTTATTCAAAACTGTGTCTAACATGCAAGACACAAGTAAGATACACAATAACTACTGCTTCATTAAAGAAAATCTAATATATTGAATATAGGAAAAATTAAAAATATATATCTAATTTTGAGGTTAGATCTTTTATAAACTGAAAGAGAAATAACATTGTTATACAAAATTCTATAAATTGATAATGTACAAAGTTATTGCAGGCAGGGTGTTTGATATTTACAATGCATATTTAGACATGTTCTTTGGTATCCCTAAACCTATTTTGTGAACCAAATTCAATTATTTATCAAGTGAATAATAATGACTTTGTGCTACCCAAGACATACCAAAGTCCCCCATATCTGTGCAAATTATTTAGTATATGCTACACAGACATCTAAAATCATGTTTTTATATTGAACCATAAATCTACCATATATCATTCCTTAGATTATTTTTTAGAAAGTTCTAAAGTGCCAATATGACATTTTAAAGAGGATATATATTGTACTAGTGTCATAGCCTTCTAATTCAAAAAGGTTGTCAATTTGACCATTTTCTCCCATTGATTCAAATGTGTATAAGTCTAATGAAGAAAGAAATGTTTGCGTTATTTAAAGAAGTTATTTTGTGCTCTTTATTTCTTTGCAAATGCTAGTTATTATAGTGAATTTGGGGATGAGTGAACATTAAGAGAATCATTGACATTTTGCAAATATATTATCTGAAAAGAAAATGTGATAAAACACTGAATCATAGCTTTTTCTCCGGCCCTGTATGAAATAGCCTAATTGTGATGTAGATCCCTGCTGAAAATACAGATTAATCTGACCTCCTTACTACACTTCGGAAGTTGACAAAATTGCTTTGACCCCATGCACAATTGGTAACCATTTCATAAAGAAGATTGAATGTCCTTTCTTTTTTAGAAAATAAAGA